TTGAACTTTTGATGACCATGTCTCAGCCTTGCAAGTGCTGGGATTACAGATATATGCCATCCACATCTATCTCACTATCGTAATTTTTTTTTTTCTCTTTTAAAGACAGAGTTTCTCTGTGTAGCCCAGGCTGTCCTGGAACTCTGCAGACCAGGCTGGCCTCAAACTCAAAGCTCTGCCTGTCTCCACTTCTCAAGCACTGGGATTAAAGGTTTGTACCACCACACCTGGCTCACTATCATTATTTTTCAAGTTCCTATCCACCTTTTCCCGTTCTTCAATCTGGCTTCTGCCACTGTGCTACTGAAATGAATGGATTCATTTACCAAATATTTCTGGGCACGGGGTGCCTATTAAGGATTCAGATCTGCTTGCTCACCATTATAACACTGTGTACTTGACATGGGCAATGGCTAGTGGTCACCAAGGGCCATTTGTCAATGCAGTGGCTTCTTTCTCTCCTCCTTTATCTGGCATGTGGAAACTCTCTCCTGCCGCTTTTCTATGTCTGCACCTTTGATCTTCTGTATTTCCTTTGTAGTATCCTCCTCCTCATGTGGGTGAGTCCCTGGGCATCCGTCTGCAGCTCTCTTCCTTCTCTTTTAACTTGAGTCTGTGAACTTCCTATAATTATACTCTACGTTGGCTAGATAGGTGTTGGCATTTTTTTTTTTTCTGGGAAAAGGGTTTATAGGGTTTTTGTTTGTTTGTTTGTTTGTTGTTTTTTTTCCCTTTAACCAGCTTCACAAGGAGGTCTATGACCCTTCGAAAAACCAAAACAAGCAAAACAAATGACCCTTCTAAAAAAAGCTGATGTGGTGGCATACATCTTTAATCCTAGCACCCAAGAGGTGGAGACAGGCAGATTCCTGAGTTCAAGGCCAGTCTGGTCTACAGACTTCCAGGCCAGCCAGGACTACATAGAGAGGCTCTGTCTTAAAAAGCCAAGCAAGCAAGCAACCAACCAACCAACCAAACAAACAAACAAACAAACACCATAAAAATAATTTAAAAACCCAACAAACAAACAAACAAGTCCCACCCTCACTGGCTCCACACCACACTCAGATACATCAACTATATGTGAATTTCTTCCTGTGCTGGTACAACAGCTACTTTGACTGGCCACAAATTCATGATTCTCCTGCTTCAGCCTCCTGAGTGCTGAGAGTATAGGCCTATGCAACTGCCCCTGGCTGCCAAGCAGTTTGTCCGAGGGCAAGAGTCATGTGCTGGCTACCTTGAAGCCACCGGCACAGAGGGGACAGCTTGTCTCCATTTCTTACCCCACACGTCTGTGGGGATGCATGCAAGAGTAAATGGTGAAGAGCACACCGCTCAACCCAGTCCCGCGCCGCGCCTCCCCCCTCCCCCCCCCCCCCCCCCCCCCCCCCCCCCCGTGACCCCAGCTCTGTAGGGGTAGGGAGGGACGTGCATGAGATCAGGCCACTGTCTGCAGAGCATGCTCACAATGTCCACAAAGCAAGTATCAACATAGGAAAAGAAGATGTAAGATAGGAAAGAAAGGAGTAAGGACTACAAAGCAATCCAGTGTGAAGATGGTATCTCGATGGACATTATGAAATGTGTTCAGTCTCTTAGAAACAGAAATGTGGGCGGATCCAGAGGCAGGAGATGATGTCCCTGGACTGGTGATGGCAGAAACACCGAGCAAGAAACAAACCAAAGGCAGATCGAGGGAGCACAAACATCAGATGACACACTGACAGGTCCCAAGCTACAGAGGAGGCTCTGACTGATTCATTCAACACATAGTCCTACTGTGTGCCAGCCTGTGAGAAGTCCTGAGAAATCAGTGATAAAGCAGACATTGTCCTTGAACTTACCGCACTGAGTTTTTGATCATAATAAATGTCCACCCTCCCTTGGGTGTAAGCAGACCTCTACTCTACTCTACTTACACTACAACCCACCTATTCCTAACAGAGCACGGTGCTTACTTTCTGGTAGATGCGCCAGTGTTAAGACCGAAAAGAAACTGCTGTGTTAATAACAAGTAGCTATTTAAAAATTTTATTATAAAATTAACGCATATAAATTATATACAAATTAGGCAATACTTGCAATTTTGGAAAAAGCATAATCTATAATTTCATCACACATGCATTTATTTTTATGTTCTTTTAGACCAGTGATTCTCAACCTTCCTAGTGCTGTGACCCTTTAATGTAGTTCCTCATGTTGTGGCGGCCCCCAACCATAAAATTATTTTTTGTTGCTACTTCATAATTGTAATTTTGCTATTATTATGAATCATAATGTAAATGTCTGATATGCAGGATATCATATGTGACCCTGTAAGAGGTTTGAGACCTGCAGGTTGAGAACCATTGCTTTAGATTTTTTTTTTCCCCAATGCACAGTGCCTGAAAAATTCACAAAAGGAATGAGTCAGTTCTCTACATACCCCTCCCCCATTTTCATTTCAAACCTATTGTGAATATCTATCAATTCCAGGAAAAATAGACTTCTCTGGCATCACATGTAGAGGTTCTATGGTATTTCACTGTATTGATGCTTCACAATACATTTAGTCCATCCATTTTCTTTCTTTCTTTTTTTTATTGTGTTGGATAATTTTTTCCTTTAAAAATTTTTTTTAGATTTATTTTATTTTGTGTGCTTGAGTGCTTTGCCAGCATGTATATCTGTGCACCACATGCATGCCTGGTGCCCAAGGAAGCCTCCGTGTGGGTGCTGGGAATCAAACCTGGGTTCTTTGCAAGAACAACCTGTGCTCTTAGTCTCTTTCTCTCTCTCTCTCTCTCTGGTTCTTTGAGACAGGGTGTCTCTGTGTATTCCTGGGTATCCTGGAATTACTCTGTAGATCAGGCTGGCCTCGAACTCACAGAGATTTATCTGCCCCCACCCCCTGATTGCTGGGATTAAAGGCATGCACCACCATCGCCTGGCTTTAATGCATCTATTTTCAATCAAGTATTGTTAAAGTTTTAGAAATAAAGATCAAGTGGAAGTTTATTTCCTAGTTTAAAAATAATGTCTCTTAAAACTAATGATGCTTGAGTCGGGCGGTGGTGGTGCATGCCTTTAATCCCAGCACTTGGGAGGCAGAGCCAGGCAGATCTCTTTGAGTTCAAGGCCAGCCTGGGCTACCAAGTGAGTTCCAGGAAAGGCACAAAGCTACACAGAGAAACCCTGTCTCGAAAAACCAAAATAAAAACAAAACAAAACAAAACAAAAAAACTAATGATGCTTCTGTGGCCCACACTAATTAAGAACTTTGCAGTGAGCTGGTGTTTTAACTCAGCCTAGCATATGCAAGCACTAGGTTCAAACCCAGCACCTAATAAAAAAGTTGAAGAAAAGCAAAAATAATTCTGCAGTGAAAAGGATCTGGGCAATGTGGCTTCAGCTTTGTGAGTTACTGAAATACGAGCAGGCTACAGCTTGCCTTGGCATCCACATGTACGTTTTTGAACAATACTTAATTTTCACAGCAGTATCATGCTTTCCCTAGAAATGCAACTCTCCTTTAAAAACTCAAATATGCTCCCCCCACACACACACCCCAAGAGGAAAAAAACTCCTTCCGTCCATTTTTGGATGATAATCATTCTTTTCTTTCTTTGCTATCTAATAAGTAGTGAAAGGCTAAATGTTATTAGTAAATTTTATTTTACATGTTGTAGACGCATAGGAGGCAGAAAGAGAAAAAAACTACTGCATAAAATATTCACATTAAAGTAAGGAACAATAAGCCAGGCGGCAGTGGCACACACCTTTAACCTCAGCACTGGGGAGGCAGAGGCAGGTGATCTTTGTGAATTCCAGGGCAGCCTGGTCTACAGAATGAGTTTCAGGACAGCTAGAGGTACCCAGAGAAAAACTGATAAAAATAAAATAAGGAAGAATAGTTGTAACTGTTGTGGTCTCATTTCTCTGACTGGTTAAAGATCACAGATGTAGTTGTATATTTACAACTACATCTGCCAGTCCTCATTTCATATTCCTGTTGCTCATAGCAAAACTAATAGTAGCTAGTTTTAGTTCCCTGACTCCTGCTGTGGCCCCAATCTTAAAATCTGAATGGTCCGAGCCACTAACATTTCTGCCTCTATTGACTTGTCTTTTTCCTTAGGCTTTTTATCACAGGATGTAGGAATCAAGAGACCCCCCTCAGGGAGCTTCTGTATTCCAGATAGTTTTCCTCCTGGCTATTTTATAATAGCAATCGGGTTTTCCCTTGATGGATCAGGATTACTGCCTCTAGCTAGTAAAGTACTCCCTTATTTACACTTGATTCCCTGGCAGGAGGACACTTGAAGCAGCCACGTGACAGTATTTTTCATCCCAGTTTTAGGATTCATACCGCCAAAGCCAGCGTCCTGCTAAGTGAGAAACCAGAATAACATCAAGATTTTTGGCCTGATTGATTTTTACCATTTACCAACACACGGGTGACTGAGAGAACTACACATCGTTTAGCATAATATTTTGTTCTGCCACAGTTTATGGCAGAAATGGACTGGATTTAAAAAAGAAAAAAGGATAATAGACTACTTTGGCAATTATTGACAACTGTTACTATTGTTAGCACCGCTATGCAGCATGAAGAAAGCCCTGGGGGGAACCTCCAATATTAAAAAGAAGCACGTTTCTCAACTTTCCCATCCAGCCGGCAGCTGTGCGAACCTAGAGCTGCCAGCAGCCAATCAGCTCCCAAGTGTGTCGTCAGCAAGTGGGCGGGGCAGTGGGATGAGAATCTCTCCACTTCTCCAGCTTGGCCACGTAGGACGCCTTGCAGGTCCTGGAAGATGCGTAATAACCAACCTATCTGTCCTTAAGGAAACGAGCATCTGACCTCCACTCAACAATAAAATTACATTCTTCACTTTATTATGTTTGAAGATGTGCTTTAGCAGCTCAACATGGTTTCTTCCTTCCTTCAGTGAGTGGACTGTCTACTTCTCGCCTTTACGGACCTGCGCTCCTCGGCTAACGCACGCGCGAGAGCTCGGGAGGGCGGGCGTGTTTCCGGGCGGCGCGGGAGGCTGGAGGTCGGAGTGCCGGCCCTGCTGCCGCAGCCAACATGGAGACGCTGTACCGAGTCCCATTCTTAGTGCTCGAATGCCCCAACCTGAAGCTGAAGAAGCCGCCCTGGGTGCACATGCCGTCGGCCATGACGGTGTACGCGCTAGTGGTGGTGTCTTACTTCCTCATTACCGGAGGTAACTCGGCCGTGGTGGGTCGGGTGGGCGCGCGGGCAGCTCGCTTCGGGGGCGCGCGGCCGCCGAGCCGGGCTCCGGGAGGGCGGCGATGCGGAGCCCGTGTCCGGCTGCTGCAGGCTGAGCGGAGCTCGGTTCACGCCCTGCCCTGCAGAGAAGTGGTCTCGTTCTCTGCCTCCCCACCCCTCCACCCCCCCGTCGAGGCTCCCGTTCCCGAGAGCCGAGTTGGATGCGTTTGTCAAGCCCAGCTTGTTCTTTTGATGACTTGCTACAATACATTGTTTGATCGGGTGTCTCGGGAGCATCATATTCGATTCACTGTATCCCCGTGGTTGGTCAAGAGGGTGTGGGACTTTTAAACTTCCGCGGTCCCTGGAACCTTGGAAGAGATCTGACAACCCTTGAGTGTGTTAGCTCAAACCCCAAGCGAGGTCTTGGGGTTGCTTTGTTTCCAGTCACACGAATGAGAAAGGAATTCATCGACACCACGGTTTTTGAGAAATAGGTGAGGTTGGAGTTGAGGCTTGCAAAAAGGTGGCGTGTTTCAGAGGGCAGAAGTTTGGGCTCCAGGAAAGCACCGCTTTTGGGTCATCTGTCACCCTCTTAAGGGGAAAAGGCAGAGGGGTGTGGCCTCGCCTATTGGTGAGTTGGCAGTCTATCTTATCTGTCTTCAGAGAACCTTTGGAGCGTCAGTTTCAGGATTTACTCAGGACTGTGCTTTTGGAGTTTAGGAAGTAGTGTACTCAGAAAATTAAAAAACTCTTTAAGTTAGCAAGAGTGGTTAAACTTTTTAGGGGTGGTGGTGACCGTATGATTGGCTTTGAAGAGGTACAAGACAGTCTTTTAACTGTAGAGTTTATGCCCTGCCTAGCTTACATTAACAGAAACACTAAATACCACTTTAATAGTTTTTTTTTTTTAAAGACATCTGGTGTGCCATTAGCCTTGAGTTTTGCTCAGCACATTAAGCAGTGAATACTGAATAAATGAAACAAAATGCATTTGGCTTTTAAAAAAATTAGTCTTAATTCTTGCCAGTCTGTTTCCTAACTTGTTTTCTTTGGAGGGAGAGTTTTTCCTAGAAGCCTCAGCTTTCCACTGGACCTCGTTTCTGGTGTTTGTAAATGGGGTTGGGGGGAATTCTCAGCTGTAAGCACTGGGTCAAAGTGGACAGGACACCAGTAGTGGTCAAGGCCACATCTTGTACGGTTACTGTTTGACCCTGGAAAGGACAAGTCTTCTAAAAACTGTGACTACACCTTTATACACAAACAGTGTTGCCGAGAATGGCGAGCGTTGACTGAGTTTCTGTTGACTCGGCACTGGGGCAGCAGCAAACAAAATATACTTACTCCGCCCTCCTTAGAATGTGGTTGAGACGTGTTAAATACCACACAGTTGCTTCCTGCTCCATAGAGTGTCATTGAAGACACAGTTGGAAGCACCATTTCCATTCCGGTGTGCTTCCTGAAGAAATGACCTGTAAGCCTGAGTTTGAGTGGTTAGGAGGGGTGTACTAGGAAAGAAAAAAAGTATGGACAAAATGTGGGACCAGGAGACCTGTAAGGTTTTTTTGTTTTGTTTTTTTTTTTTTTTGTTTGTTTTTAACTTACATCAGGGTTTCTAAATCCTCCTTTGTGATCCATTTTTGCCTCAGAATTTTTTACACAACCCTGGTTGTGTAAAATAGGTATATAAGATAGATATATATATATATACCAAACTTCCACTGATAGTAACACATAAACTTACTTTACAGCAGTAGTTTGGTAGACATACAATTGCACTGTTTCTTAAAATTGAAAGCAGATTCATATACTAAGGAGATGGGCAGCCGGACGGTGGTGGTGTACACATTTAATCCCAGCACTTGGGAGGCAGAGCCAGGCCAATCTCTGTGAGATCTAGGTCTACAGAGTGAGATCCAGGATAGGTACCAAAACTACACAGAGAAACCCTGTCTCAAAAAAAAAAAAAAAAAAAAATGGATGTACTTATTTATTTTCACATAAAGATTTGAATCTTAGTTGAATATTTGATACTGCAGACTATAGAGCATCCTCAGTGTCCTTCAGAGCTTAATATTTTATAATTGCTTGCCAATGCTGAGAACAGGTAGTGTGAAATGGGAAACATGTTTAGGACCATCTCAGAAATTGTTGGAAATTCTGCCCTAATTTGAAGTTAAAATTCATTCAACAATTTTTAAAGAAACTCAAAACAGCAATTTAAAAAACTAATACACTGTACAGTCCAATAATACTAATTTGATACTTAACATCATGCTTTTAGGAAAGCTAGCTGTATATGTATAATAATGTATAGTAAAAACAGCCATCATTCATAGGCCATAGTAGTCTGGAAACTGAGCTGAGATGTTTCTGGCAGTGTTTTTTTGTCATTGCGTAGTGTGGAATGTGCTCAGCGTGAAGTGCATGTGCTGTGTTCAGAACCAAGGCTGTAGATAGAGCACGGGCGTAATTTAGAGTTAAGTTTCCAGCTTGCGTGTTCACACACCTTTACTAGTGGCATTTCTTTTTCAATACCCACAGCTAGTTGTGTCAGATCCATGTTCCAATCCGCAGTTTAAGAAGCTGTGGCCTAGGTTATAATGCTAGGTTGGATAGCAGTGGTTTTAACTAGTCTTTTATCTGTCCAGTTTTATTTTGTTTGCCGTTTAGAAAGGAGGTTATAAACTAGACCAGGTGTTTCTGGGAAGACAGTGACTGAATGATGTGGGGCCGGGAGGGAAAGAGAGCTTGAAAACAGGGCCGAGAGGAGATATCCAAAGGATGATGCTCCGGAGAGGGCCAGTGGGGAGAGGGTCAAGGAGGAGGGACTCCTCTCCTGTAGCCCAGTGAGAGGGCCAGTAAATGCAGGTACAGTGCCTGGCTTTGTAGATTTGGCAGGGAGAAGGTAAGGGACTTCTTTGATTTGTAAATGGGGTTGGGGCTGGAGTCAGGCTGTGTAAGAAGGGTGGCAAGGTGAGAGAGTGTCCCCACAGTGGAAGTTGAGAATGTCGCTGGGCATTAATGGTCACATTGGGAGATGCTGGGGTTCACATTGATGATCGCTGACTGCGCTCAGGAGGCTGCGGGAGGAAGAGCAGCACATTCGAGACAGCCTGGGCTACAGACTGAATGCCATGGCAGCTTCTGCTATAGAGAATTTCTCTCAACTAGCCAAAAAAGAAAGCAAGAAAATTTCCGTAGGCCTCTCTCAATTTACAGAAATAAGTTCACGGATATGTGGCTTTATTTTGTGTGCTAAAGTAGATCCTTAGTATTAAATGTTCCTTACTTTGGAGTCATTCTAGAGTATTAGCATGTGATACTTAGTTTCCTTCCTGAAATTGGAATCTCTTTGAGAGATAATATTTGTTTATCATTCTAAAATATTTGTAATATCATTCTAAAATGGTTTATCCAAAGATTAGAAGGTTAGCTGGATCTGGTTTGATTATAATAATACAATCAAAGCATCCCTATTTGTGTGTAAATAAGTCCTATTTAAATGTAATTCGAGGCAGTGAAAACTGGAGTTCTGTTTTTCATACTGAGAGATCTCATCTGCACTGTTGTCTCTCTTTAGGAATTATCTATGATGTTATTGTTGAACCCCCAAGTGTTGGCTCAATGACTGATGAACATGGACATCTGAGGCCAGTAGCTTTCTTGGCTTACAGGTAAAAGATGGCATTTGAACAACTCGATGATGGGAAAGGAGGTTGCTGGGGCATGTCTAATGATTCAGTGGGAGGAAAATGAGTGGTGGCACATGCTAATAACTCCAGCAGGAGGGTCTCTGCTTATAGGCAGCCTGGGCTCCATAGTAACCTTAAGGTCAGCTTAAGCCAAAGAGACTCTGGCTCTCGGAAAAGTAAATAAAAATGAAGTACAGTAAAAATGCTGTGGACTTATCTGCATTTAGAACCCTCTGTTTTTAATACGTGGAGTTCTTAAGACAAAACGAGGCAGAACGTAACAAAAATAGAACTGTATTATTAATCTATTAGAAAATCAGGTGTGTCTTACTGATTGGCATATCACCAACCTAAAGGCTGGTTTAAAATCAAAATGACAGACTGTCTGGGGTCAGCAAACTACAGTCATATTTTGGAAATATTTTATTTGAATTAGCAAATACATTTATATATTACCATATAGACACCACACACTAATTGATTGCACTACTGGAGTGCCTAATTTATTATCTATAGCTGTTCTTAAGCCAAGTAAGTAAATGTGACATAAACCATGTGGCCTACAGGCTTAAGGTATTTGCTTGTTTAGGTACTGGAAATCAAATCTGGGGCCAAATGTATAGGTAAGAAATGTCCTTTTATGATAGTTATGTGGGCACTTTAGAAAAGACATTTATAGACCCCTGAATGTTACTGTTAAGTAAAAAACATAATTTAGATTTATTATGTATATAGTGTTCTGTTTGTATATATGCCTGCAGGCCAGAAGAGGGCCACAGATCTCATTACAGGTGGTTGTGACCACCATGTGGTTGCTGGGAATTGAACTCAGGACCTCTGGAAGAACAGCCACTTCTGTTAACCTCTGAGCCATCCTTCCAGCCCCAGATGTTGAGCTTTTATTTTTGTTTGTTTGTTTTGTTTTTTGAGACAGGGTTTCACTGTGTAGCTTTGGAGCCTATCCTGGAACTCACTCTAGAACCAGGGTGGCCTCAAACTCACAGAGATCTACCTGCCTCTGCCTCCCAACTGCTGGGATTAAAGGTGTGCACCACCACTGCCCAGCAATGTTCGGCTTTTATTTTATTTATTTATTTATTTTTTAGAAGATTTATTATGTATACAGTGATCTGCCTACATGTATGTTTTTGAGCCAGAAGAGGGCACCATATTTCACTACAGATGGTTATGAGCTACCATGTGGTTGCTGGGAATTGAACTCAGGACCTCTGGAAGAATAGCTAGTGCTCTTAACCATTGAGCCATCTCTGCAGCTCCACTGCTTAGCTTTTAAAATAACTAAAATGTATATTGATTTTCTAGACAGTTTTGTTGATATTTTTTTAAAGCCCTGTCTTTATTTTATGTATATGGGCTCTATCTGCACATACACCTGCATGCCAGAAGAGGGCATCAGATCCCTTTATAGATGGTTGTGAGCCACCATGTGGTTGCTGGGAATTGAACTCAGGACCTCTAGAAGAACAGCCAGTGCTCTTAACCCCTGAGCCATTTCTTCAGCCCCTGATAGTTGATGTTTTAAAACTCTTTTAAGTAAGGTACATGATGGCCAAGTTTTATTTTTGTGTTTGGTTTTTGTGGTGCTTGGGCTAAGCCTTCGGTATGCTTGTGCTAGGCAAGTTCTACCATAGAGCTACATTCCCAGCCCAGACAGGTTTCTATCTGTTCTGTTTATTTTGTATCCTAGAACCTAGAATAATATTTGATGTATGATATACTGCTCAGTAAATACCTGTTGAATGAATGATCAGATGAATATCCAAGGGCATGGTAAATAGCTGTAAAGGTAAGAATAAAGTGTTAGCACAAACTGTTTTAGCATAAAGCAGAAACAGGAATTTCAACCTAAAGGGAGAAACATTAATTTTGTAGTAACATTCATTTGCTGTGCTGTGGTTTTCTTTTTCAGAGTAAATGGACAGTATATTATGGAAGGACTTGCGTCTAGCTTCCTGTTTACAATGGGAGGTTTAGGTTTCATAATCCTGGACCGATCCAATGCACCAAATATCCCCAAACTCAATAGATTTCTTCTTCTCTTCATTGGCTTTGTCTGTGTCCTGCTGAGTTTCTTCATGGCTAGAGTATTCATGAGAATGAAATTGCCGTAAGTAAAATACTTGGTATAATAAACAATTTTACTTTTGTTATGAATTGCTATAATAATTACTTGGAAAACATAAATCCATAGATTTAATTTAACACTCAGTTAAATGTGAAAAATGTTCGAGAACTAAAGAAATTTGTAACTTGCCTCGGGTTATAAGTATAGTTGTAACAAAATGGAGATCAGTAGGTCTTCCTGGCTGTCCCTGCCATGCGCGGTCAGGAAAGTCTGGTTCTGTTTTCTCAGCTGCACTGACTGTTGGTAGGGAACTAGTTTTTCTGTAATGTGCCTTTGGTTGCTGGGTCTGATTCCAGTAGGATTAGTGACGGTAAAGAGGATTTTCAAGCCCCGGGCTGCTGCTGCTGCTGCTGCCCTTCATTGTTGGTATAAGTTGCTCATTCCTAACCTGAAAAGCTAAATGCTTGACAGCCAGAACGATAGCACAGTGGAAAATGCCACACCGTGAAACCTTTGTCTCATGTACAGAATTATTTTAAAAAATGCTGTATGAAGTTAACCTTTTGGATACATGGACAAGACACATAAAGCATAAATGATCGGTTGGGTTTGGCCTTAAAGTTTTGCCATGAGCATTGTGCATGTTAGGCAGTGTCTTAGTTACTGTGCTGTGATGAAACATCGTGACCACAAACAGCTTAGGAGGAGAGGGTTTATTTCACTTAAGTATTACAGTCCGTTGAGGGAAACTAAGGCAGAAACTCAAACCGGGAAGGAACCTGGAGGCAGGAGCTGATGCAGAGGCCATGGAGGGGGCTGTTTACTGGCGTGCTCCTCATGGCTTGTTCAGCCTGCTTTTTTATCGAGTCCAAGACCACCAGCCCAAGGATGGCACACCCCCCCCCCCCAATGAGCCAGGCCCTCCTCCTTGGATCATTAATAACTAATTGGCTTGCCCCACCCGATCTGGAGGCGTCATCTCAGCTGAGGCTCCCTCCTTTCAGATAACTCACTCCAGCTGTGTCAAGTTGATAGAAAACTAGCCAGGTCAGTCAGGTCCTCTACCCCTGAGCTGCACCCCCAGTTCCTAGACATGAGTGTTGTGTTTAGACTTCATTCCATCCCTAAGATATCTCATTATCTATGCAAATATTAAACAGTCTGAAATGTCAGTTGGGGAGATGGCTCAACAAGTATAGTGCTACCTAAGCGTGAGGACCCGAGTTCGTATCCTGGATCTCCATGTAAAGAGCTAGGACAGGGATACATGTCTGTAATTCTGGTGCTAGGGAGGCAGAGACTGGCTGACATCTGGAGCTCACTGGCCAGCCAGCCTTTCTATACACATGCACACACACACAAATGTACATACACGCATGCTGTACACACACCAAACAAAAGAAAAAATAACCAAGCACTGGTCCCAGGCGTTTGGTTACGGACTTCAGCCTGCATAAAGAAACCCCATTAAGCCTTACTCAGGAAAGAAGCACTGTTCCTTAAGATAGGAGAAAGGATTGCATTTTTTAATGTAATATTTAAAGATTTTTTTTTCCTTTTATAGAAGATAAATTCTTTCTCACATAATATATCCTGATAACAGTATTTCTTCCTCTACTTACCTCCCTTTCTATCCAGATCCCCTCCCTTTCTGTCTCTCATTAGAAAAGAACAGGCTCCTAAGAGATAATACTAAAAATAAGATAAAACTATCACATTGATGTTGTACAGGACTAGCCAACAGAAGGAAAAGAGCCCAAAGAAAGGCATAAGAATCAGGGACCCACTCGTTCACATACTCAGAAGTCCCATAGAAACACTAAACTAGAAGCCATAAAGATTATTGTAACTCAGAAAATTTAAAATATTTTTAGAGAAAGGTAAATTGGTTTTGTGGAAATATATAATTCCAATTGAGGTTGTTAATTTGAAATTTAGAAAAGTTTGCTAATTAAACAAGTAGTTCGGGTTTAATTTGAAGTTAGAATTTTTTGTATATTCTGATTTTACCTCTGGGAAGCCAAACACGAAGATCAATTCAACAATTTATTTTTTTTAGAGAACTGTATTAAGCATGTGTATTAGTTCCTGTTGTATGGCTGTGATAAAACACCGTGACCAAGGTAGCTTACGGCTCCAGAGTTAAGTGTCCATGATGGTGGAGTGTGGTGGCTAGAACAGGAAGCTGAGAACTTGGATCTTGAACTACAAGCACAGAAAGAGACCTGGAAATGGCATGGGTGTCCAGACTCAGAGCCTGCCCTCAGTGACAAGGCCACATGTCCAAATAGTGCCATCTTTTGGGGACCAAAGTGTTGAAGTGCCCAAAACTGGAGGACGTTTGTCGTCTAAACCCTCATGGCATCATGTATCAGCCATACTAATTTCTAGTGTTTGAACTTTACAATTTCACTTGGCCTGTGGCTTAGTCTGTCCACTGCCTAGGACATGCTCATGGTAGTGGGGTGCTTGTTCTGGAGCCATATTCCCAACTTAGTTCTGGCACGATGGAAGGTCTCACAAGAGTCTTAGTCAGCTAAGTATTTGTGTGGCTGTAGTCTCTGCAGGCTTCTGTCTGGTACTCTTGTCAGAGGGAGCACTTCTGACCCCTGCCACCTTGTGAGCCCTGGGCACTCCAGCTTCTTTTTGTTCTGTCTCTGCCCCTGTTAGAAATAATTTGCCCTGGCCTGGTAGAGTCTGCTAGTATGGGAGAGCCTGGCATTTCCTGTAGCATTGAGACATTTTTTTTTTTTCTAAGCTGTGCTGTGTTGGGGTACACCTGTAATTCTAGTACTTGAGAGGTAGAGGTAGACCACCAGGAATTCAAGGCCAGCCTCAGCTAAAGCAGGTTTGAGGACTGCCTGGGCTACTTGTTTCAGAATACAGCAACAACAAAATCTCAAAATTTTTTCTAACGTGTTAAATTTTATTGTCACTTTAAACACTTATACTCAGCAAATATGTATTTTTTTCATTTCTGAGGTATGATCTCAGTGTATTGATGTAATCAACAGTCTTATTAAATAAGAAACACAGAAACAATGTAAAAGAGAAAGCCAAGAGGTCAGAGCTCAGAGCTAAAATCTCACCCTTCCGCCTGCGGTGTCCCAGCTTCCCGAAAGAGAGATATATCCTGTCTGTTCGTTTTTTTTATAGTATTTTGTTCTGCCTTCTCATTGGTTGTAAACCCAAACACGTGACTGCCTCGTCACTGTCTGAATGTA